GGTTCTGGGGCAGTTGGTTAGACGACTTCGTTATGGCTTGTCCAAGAATTTTACTTATCAGCGGACCGTGGATTCTTATGCAAATGTGAATTTTCAGAATTTCATTTAGAGAAGTTGGAATTGAGTGGAAATTTCTGTTCCTGCATGAAGCGTTTCGGAAGCTCGACGGCGGAACGAGAATTATTGTAAATTCCAGTGAAATTGTTTACTTTACTGGCGAAATTAAAGGCTGGTGAAATGATCGCTCTATTTAACCCTTTGAGGAGGAAGATTCATTGAAGTACACAAAACTGTCGACAGATGAAGGAAAATTAGCTTGAATCATAGAAGAAAGAGGAAACTATACCGATATCTTGGTAGAGCAATCGAATCGTTTGTCTGACCTGCTGTTCCAAATATGAACATTTCATCTTAAGATATAGACGTTCGTCCCTAAAGGGTTAACAAAATAAGGGCACACGTTTGCGTGTACTGTCTTTTTATTGTTTCTAGATCCCGTGCTTACCAATGCCGCGTGCTACGCGTGTTACGACACACCCTTGCTTCGCAACGGAACGTTCGAACCGCGCTCGAGTCGAGAGAAGCTTGCAGGCCTGTAATAAAGTTCGAACACTTAGGGTAGACCCACTTATGAACGTGTTCGGACGTCTGAAGCGTTCAAACTCCGGTATGAATTCGATCTTCGCGTGTGCATCGAGCTTTCCCGGGTGCTATGTATACAAAACGTTTCATAATACGTGCGATCCATCGTAGAGATAGATTGGAGGCAGGAAACTACATAACAAGGGTAGCGTCGTTGATCTATTTTCTTCTGTTCTCGAGTGGCAGTCATTTTTACATCGATACTCGAGCTAAAACCAGAGTGCCACGAGTAATTTTACTAAATTCTTTCAATTGTAGTTCCAACGATTTAGATTTGTCAAGCTTGAGTCAGTCATTTCTGAATTGCAACCCCTTAGAGTCAAGAATATTTCAATCATTCGATTCTGGTATATGAAATTTGATTTGAATCGGCTAAAAATTTTCGTTTTCTTAACGCAGTAATTATATCAGCTGCAAAGTTTATTAATGAAATGATAGAAAATCGTTGAACAAAAGGGTTGAACAGATAATGAAACAACATTAAATGCCATGAAACAAAATTTGTCTACAAACTTCTCTAAAAGTGTTACAGGACTCCCTCGGCAACCGAGTATCGTCGAACGAGTTCAGACAAGGAGCACAGCCATCGCTAGTCGCAAGACGCGCGCGCGCGGATTTCTCTCCCGAGGCAGATCTCACGGATTCGAACGGTTTTAAGGGGGACAACGGTGTGACGGCGCGTAAAGTAGGTGATTTTTGGGGATAGACTGCGGCAATGGAGGAGCGCGTGGAAACGGAATTTTCAGCGCAGCTATTAACGCGATTATTCCACGAGGAAACTTGGGAATTTGTTTATCGATGAGAATGACGCAAACGGAAATATGGCGCTCGCGCGCAAGTCGTCCAGGCTGTTGCAAGGGTGGTTCACCCAGTAGCTCCACAAGTGTGTAATCACCTGAATTACAAACTTCTCCTATTATCTTAAACTATACGCGCGTGTAGCTTCAGTTAAGCACGGGGAATTACAAACGTATTCATTTTTCAAGGACGACACGGCTTAGAAGGGAAGCGTGTCTTTCATTTGGGATTATATTTTAAATTTTGTATTGGCACAAGAATCTGTGCGCATTCAAGCAATTATATTTGAATATTATACATTCGATTTCAATGGGTAGTAAATTGTTTGTTAATTAAACAGTGGTAAAGACGGTTAAGAATATTGTTGGTCGCAGGAAAGAATTAAGGATTTCTACGAGAACGAAATGAATTCTAGCTCGCTCAGTTCTGACGAATGTGGCTCATTATTGACTTAGTGGACGTCGAGCGCAGACTTTTCTGTAGTTAAATTTCTTCGTTCGACTGGAATGAGCATAGAGCGATTTCAAAGTTTCCGGTGACAGTGCAGGTAGCAGTTCAAGCATTGGTAAATGCTTAAATGTTGAACAGGTTCGTACGACAGTTGTAAAATCGATGGAGATTAATTAATATAATTTGGGAAAATCGTTGGATGATGCATTGATAGTATTATATAATGTAAATAATGATTGTTTACTTGGAGACTTATTTTGATCTATTGATCTTTGTTATTTTTCTTTTAGTAACCATTCTATAGTGTGTTTCACGATGTCGATTTTGAAATGAAAATTTTATTAACGAATCGAGAGGAAAAAGTGCATGAAAGGAGCTTCCGAGTTACATTGGCCATGCGATAATGTATTAAATATTGAATATTTCTTTTAGGGAGGATGAAACGATTTTCGATGAATGAGACGCATCCAGTTTCATAGCCCATTTACTATCTTCCCATGAGGAGTGATTCGGAGCTAATTGAGCGTTCAGACCAGAGCGATGTAAAACTGTTCAGCCGGGTTGATTTTAGCATACTGACGCGCGCTGCATTTAACAACATCCTATACGTCAACCTAAATTCTCCGTGCGAAGTTAGAGAGCGAGACCAACGGTACAGTTTTATTTTCATTTACTTTCGTCGACGAACAACGCTAACGAACCGATTTACCAATACCCTAAAACACTGAAATATATTCCATCGTGTCATTTTAATCGCTTATAATCCTTAAAAGGTTCACTTCCAAATCTCAATACAAAGTTCCAATTAATCCTTGACATCGTACGTCTCAAATACTCAAACAACGAGCAAACATTTGTTCAGAAACAAAAAAGAAATTGAAACGAAATCGAATCATAGAAACAGCTTATCCATTAATAAACCAGTTTCAATAGATTCGAAAAATCTCAATTCTACTAAAACAAATCAATCTACGTACTAAGCTCTTCAATTTATTTCTACAGTAACCGCATTACCATCTAATTCCACAAGACTCCAACAACAACAACAGTAACAACAACAACAACAACAAGACGCGAGTGAAAAAAAATGTCCCCATCAACAACATTCGATCCCCGGAGAACGAAGATGCTCCGTATACTCGCGGGATTCCCGTCCCCGTTGAAACGATTAACAAACAATGTTATTATGTTGAGCGCAGCCGCGAAAGGGGAGGACACTTTCGTCGAGACGACGACGACGACGACGTCGGCGGTGGCGGTTGGACGTGTCGAGGGCCCCCGGAAAATCAAAGAGAAATCGATCCCCGGCGTGACCGGACGCAGAACGAGAGGCGGTTAGAAAAGAAACCCGTGAACCGGATCGTCGAAACTGCGCTCGGTTCGAACGGGCCGCCGGGTAATCGATGAGGGAGGGCCGCCGCCGCCGCCGCCGCCGCCGCCGCCGCCGCTGCCGCCGCCGCCGCGCCGCGGAGGGAAGGTAGAGAGAGGCGGCAAGAATAACACGGTACATCGATCAGCTTCCGAAACGAGTCCACCCGTTCGATCGTACCGACGCACGGGAAAGGGTTCCCGTTCGAATCTGACGGAAAGATTCCGCGAGGATCAAGGAGGAAACACGGCGGACGGAATCGATAGGCGACGGGAAGGGTTTCTTTATTTCGCGAAGAGGGCCTACAGCCAGAGGGAGAGAGAGAGAAACAGAGCGAGAGAAAGCAAGGTAGCAAGAACGAGAGAGGAGCAGGTGGAACGGTCTGGCCTCCTCGTGGCACGGCGTCCTCCACCTCCTCCTCCTCCTCGTTCTCCACCTCCTCATCCGGCACCTCGAGGGTGGGGAAATCCTCCCTCTCGCTACGCCACCCTTCTCCAACCATTCCTCTCTCTGTCTCTCTCTCTCTCTTTCTCTGTATAACACCGGGCGGGACAGCGGTGCGCGTCGGGCGGCTAGCACCGAGCGACGTCGGATTCGTCGATGACGAAACGCGGAACGGTGGAATTCGTAGGACGTGCACGGTGCTGCCGCTCCGCGCAAAAATCAGTGCGACCGGAGTGCACCGCGAGGAAGGGACACGCGGGTCTCCCCGTGCGCGGCCTGCGGTTCCCGCTTGCGGCAGGCGCGCCACTTTTCCGCCCGAAGGCAGCCAGATACCGAGAGACCGCCGCGGAAATAGGTCGACGGACGCGCGCGCGCACGCGAGAGCCACCTCCGCGGACGGGTAAACACACAGTCCGGCCCCGAACCTCCGTTGGGAACGAGGGGCGCGCACGAATTCGCTCCCGCGAGCTGGCCGACGCGCGAACACCGTGTCCTCTGTTGGTTGCGTGGCCGCCGTTGCGCCGATCCCGGCCGCAGGCGACGGGGGACGTGGGGATCCCCGTGGCAGGGAGGGAAAATATGAACGCCGGTGAACAGTGAAGGCTCTGGGAATCCGTGAACGACAGGATTGTTCGGCTGTCAGCCGGGCAAGGGGTTAGGGCACGGTTATCGAGGTGTGTTGATCATGTGGACGCTGCTAGCCGGACGCTAGATCAAGGTGAAACGATTCTCCGAAATAGGCTGGTCGGGGGTGAACACTTGGAGAGGGGTTGTGTTTATCATATGGACGCTGCGAGCTGAATGTCATGGTTATTGGATTTCGGATTTGACGAATTGCTCCGGTAATTTCGCTGAGCAGGTGTCAGAGGGTGGATCAAAGGGGTTGCGTTGAGTAGCGGCAATTGGACGTTCACTTGGCGGCGTTGGTAAAGTTTGATGAATGGTTCGAGAGGGAAATGAACTGTTGTTCCGGGAGGATTTCAACTTCCGACGACTTTAAGGGGAGGGTAAATAATCGGAGATCGTAAGAGTAAACTTGGTACGAGCTTCGGAGTTCATAGATCGGAAGACGTGTGCTGGATAGTTTGAAGAGTGTTGAAATTCTTGTACCAATGGGAACATGGAAAAAGGAGTTTTAAAGGAGGAATAATCGAGGAAGCTGCGATACAGTGTTAAAAAGAAAAGCGAGGGAAGGTGACACGTCTTTTCTCGCGGAGCGAGCATCGCGGATTTGGTAAATAAACGGACTC